AAAAAATAAGTAACTGCTATTTCTTATTACTTAATACCAATTGTCAAAAAACATTCATCAGTCAATCCATCCATCAGATTTTTGGTTAAGAATTAAAAAACTCAAAGAGAAACAGAAAAGTTCCTTCATGAAGTCCAGAACTAACAAAAAGATTACCAGAATCTGTGGGCACTGGAGGAAAGACCCAGACTGGGAAGCGAGAATGGGCTCAGAGAGCAGGGTAGAAGCTTAGAACACTTTCCTAACTGGGAATTCCAAGGAATCCCCAGGAACCACAGAGTTATGAAGAAGAACAGTGATGCCTTCCAGCACGTTGAGCACATACACATGACAGAAGGTAGATGCCAATGGCAAAAGTCCAGAAATCAAGTTAAAAACCAAACAGGAACCAGCCACCCACTGAAGAGGGTAGGAGGGGGTTCACAATGGCACTGAAATCAAGTACCAAATTAGAAATGGAGTCTGGAAAATATTAATAAGAAGAAAACACCAAACAAAGTGAATGTTTATGGGTCAAGAGAAGAGAAAAACTCAAAAGAAAGTAACCTCACAACTATAAAAATCATTTCATAGGAAGAAAGAAAATGACTTGAATACAAGAACTAAAAGAACACCTGAAATAAAAAAACAAAAAGTATATATTATTTAACCTAGTATCAGAAAAAAAATTATTCACTCTAATTGAGCTCCCAAAGGAAAAAAAAAAAGATTGAAGACCAAATGAAATTTTGAGGAAATTCTATCAAAGATTCAAAGAACAATTATTTAAATAAACTTTTTGCCAAAATAGGAAAAGTGCTTTTTGAAACTCTATGATACAAACATGGTCTTAATATCTAAATCAGAGGGAGACAAAACAGAGAAAGGAAACTATAGGCCAATATCCCTAACAGTGACACAAAAATGTTAAATAACATATTTCAGGCAAAAAAAAACATTAAAAAGAATGGATTAATCCCATGAATATAGGTTTGGTTCAATATAAAGAAAATTACAAACATAATAGACAGTAATGATAACAAAGATAATAAAAATCATGATTATATTAATATATGCTAAAAATTTTGACAAATTCTAACATCTTTTTTCTTTTAAAAAATACTAGAAAACATGACTAGACAGGAATTTCTCCACAAAAAAAGATAAAGGAAACAGAAAGAGATTCATACAAAAGTATAGCAGCACATTTTGTAGTAGCAAAGAACTGGAAACCAATGGAGTATCCTTCAATTGAGGAATGGCTAAACAAATTATGGTCTATTAATATAAAGAATACTATTGCACTTTAGGAGAGACCGGGAAAAGTCTTCACCTATATGAACTGATACAGTTAAGTGAGCAGAGTTAAGAGAACAATTTATACAATAACATTATAAAGAAGAATGAGTCTGAAAGACTTGAGAATTATAATACAAACACCAACTATGATTCCAGAGGACTAATGGTGAAGCAGGTTACCCTCTTCCTGATAAACAGTTGGTTGACTCAATATACAGAATACAAGATGTATTCTCTGACACCAATGGGGCAATTTAGTTTGCACAATTGAACACAATTGTTACAAGGCATTGTTTTTCTCTTTTTTCCAACAATAGGATGAAGAAAGAATGAGGAAGGTTAGAGACAGAGGAGGGGAGGAGGAAAAAAGGGACAGAGAAAGAAAAAGAGAAGAAGAGGGAGAGAAAGAAAGAGAGAGAGATAAAGAGAGAGAGACAGAGACATTTTAAGTATTTAGAACTTGACAGGAAGTCCAGAAAGAATCACATGCAAGCAGGGCAGCTTTGAAAGGTTTAACTTATGTACTTAAACAGAAAATCAAATTGTATGTTATAGAGATCTACAATCTCATATATAATCATCTTTTCCCATTCTACTATTATAAAGGAATATCCGTTATTTGGCATTGGTTAAATTAAGAAAAAAAGAAGACGTTTCAGAGGGAGAGAAACAAGAAAGACAGCTTTTGAACTGTTAGATTGAGTTTATTATATAATTCAAAATAAACATGCTATATGTAATGAAGATTCATGGTTTCATATAGTCTTCTTTTTATGTTCTTTGTATATTAAAATGTTCTTTTGTTCATATTTGTCCATATTTAAAATAATAAACACTTAAGAATTTACAAAATCAGGTAATACTTTTAGGCATCAGTTAAGTCCATGAAACTTGTGCTAGTATCTCAAGGAAACATCTAAAAATATTTTTAGACAGCAATTGAAGGAGTAATGCTACCCTTTCTATGTTGTTTCTTCAATAAGTTTCAGCGTTCTCTATTAATAAGGATGGGATTTAGCTGTTCTTCACTTAAATACTACATTACAGTTTTTATCCTTTTATAAACATTTCTGTGAGATAGGAAAATGACAACATTCACATTTTAAAATGAAGTAACTAAAGTGTATATATGTCTCTAGGTCATGAAACAAATCTTCACTAGAACTATAATTCAAACATATGGCTTTCTGTCAATCAAGTTATTTGTATGTCAGCCCTTTAGTTTTAAGTCAAGTGTGCAGGTTCCCTGAGGCAGGCAAATCTGTAATGAGTTTGATGTAAAGTATTCTTCAGTATAGCCAGATAATTTAGAAATAGACTAAACTCACAAGTATCATCGTTCCTTGTAATTTACAACCTTAGAAAAAATACTTTTTAATATAATCTTCAAAGCCAAGAACATTCATATATAAAAAAGCAATAATACATTCAGTTTAGATTAAAGACTTGCATTTCTTCTGTTGTATGAATTTTATTGCTCCCCAAAGGGGAAAAAAGGAATTACTATTGCTACATGCAATGGGCTAGATGTATCAATTCTTAGTTCTTCAACAGGGAGTACCCAAAAGTACACTAAAATATTAATTACAAAATATAATGTTGAAGACTTAAACTGAACTTCATCATAAATTTTATGTTTAATCAAACAATTGGTCTATTTCCTGTGATATAAAAAGAAATAGAACCCATTTGAAATCAGATATTGTCTTGAGATAATTGCTATTATCTCCCAATTTTAATAAACATCCATAATTTCACCTTCGCTAATTTTAACTAACACAAATAGAACTGTAGGTATCAGTCAAAGACATTTTTCTGGTATTTAAGCAAGTTTATAAAATCATCTCATTACTCAGGAAACCTAATAGATACTTGCATTAAAAGTATTGATCTGGAGAAATGAGCTATTTTATTTAAGCATGTGATAAGTATTGATTCATTCATTAGTGGTTTTAAGCATTCATTTAAAATGTGTCTTAATATACAAAGATATATAATGTATAAACACTTTATGATTAACATATGAACAATATATAATTCTGTAAATGTAATATGCTTGTAAGAAAACATTTACATTTGTTAATGATATTAAAAATATTCTAACTTCAAAAAGTACATATTTAAATGTATTCTAGTATAACAAAAAGGTGATACATTTGTATCACCCTTTTTGCAAAGCTATTTGCTCAGATAAAGGACCTACATAGCAGTAGACTTGATAGATGCCCTGTTGCATGCTATAGTTTTGTGCCCTTGTGGATAGTTACAGAATTCATCAAGACATACAATATATCTCAAGATTTCCAAAGTATATTGTCTATATGGTAGATCTCCAGGTAGAAAGGATTTATAGAACATCAGCAAGAATTCTACATAATAAGAAGGCATGGATAGGTTGCAAATAGCTCCTTTGAGAGGGTACCCACTTCAATGAAATTACAGAACCACTGAAGTATTAAAATGTTGTTTATTTATTTATTTTGCTTCTATGAAACACAGCTATTACCCATTGCGCAAATGGAGAGGAAAGGCAACATTTTAATGTGTATGGTCTAACTTTTGTCTTTGAAAAATAAAAATGATAATACATCAAAGCTTTTTTTTTTCAAAAATTCCTTGCTTTTTTCAAACAAGTTATGTGGAAGTTCTAGTACCTGACTTGTCTAGATTAAACTGGTAGAAGTCTCAATACAATGATAGCTCATAGCTCACTGGCACATGATTTTTAAATACCATTGGTCGCATCATGTTCCGTGAAACATAACATATTTTAAAAGTCTAATATAGCAGAGAAAATAAAATAAATGTTTTTGTTATTATCCAGGAATGGTGTTAGAAAAAAATTCCATTATAATGTACCATTCTTACAGATTACAATAAAACCCAACTAAAGAGAATTTTTTCTTTTTGGATTTCCACACCTATTTCTAGACAAACTTTTCCATTTTCCTGAGTTTTAATATTAACCAGAATGTGAGATAAAACCACAAATTTCATTTCAATATTTTGTAGCAAAGTTAATAGCATGTAATGAACACAATCTCCAATATTTAAAGTCTGATTTGGCTGGAGGTTTTTTGGTGGTGGTTGAGTAATGATGGGAAAAGAATATAAAAGTTTCCCCAAGGCATTGGAGTCACTGAAAATATATATGACAATATTCAAATATAGTCAGTGCTTTTTGATTTGTAGTATACATAAAATTAATGTAATTCCTAAGAATTAGGCCATATTGAGAATTTGATCTTTACAACTATCACCACATTTATCTACATGCTATCTCTGGGGAAATACATGCAAAGAAAATACAGAGCTTTACCCACAGTTAGAGAATCACCTATAGAGTCATTACTTCTAGAAACCTCACAAATATTTTGCTCTAAGTAAAACTTATGCATTGCTAACAAAGAACTAAGATACTCTATTTTCTCATAAGTACCACTCAATCACAAACATTTTGCATATATACATATATATATACATATATATATACACACACACACATATATATATACATATATATATGAACATATGTATATTCAATACAGACTAGCCATCATAATTTAGATCTCACAAAATCAAGCCAATATCTGTAGACTCCATTAAAAGAATGGCTTGCCAGGTGCCCCTTCAATTCTATTTGAAAGGATTTACATTGTTCAGCATCCAAATGCTATTCAAGAGTATCCCAAAATTAAACATTTGTAAAAACATTTTTTTACTCAGCCTGCAACTGCTTTCCAGGTTAGTTCAGCTTCTAGTCAGATATACATCCAAGTTGTACAAAATGATCATTAAAGAAAATAAAAATTCAAAGATGCCGCAAAATAGGGCTTTGCAAAAGTAATCCATGGTACTGCGTGGTTAATTTAAAAACCCTATTTTTTTTCTCAGTTTGAAGTTTTTAAACCTTGCGGATGGTTGGAGTAGGAAAAAGGAAATTTACTAGGCAGTACAAAGGAAATCTTGTTGTCCTCTATTGTGGCAGTGGGGGTGTTACCCAATCCTAACTTATCTATGTTGATAAAGGAAATCAAAAGCAGAGTAACAAGAAAAAAGTTCCTGTCAAATCAAAAGGTGCTCATCCTTACCTTAATAGTGCTGGCCATAGTGCATTCAAGTTTATTAATCGTTAATTATTGATAATAATAATTATTGCTTCTCTCTGACCAGAAAGTAGTTTTGATGAGGTTGTTTAAAGCGGATGAGATTGTGCTAAGTCTGGGAAATGAAGTCAGCCAATGGCAGGAAGAGGTTTCTATTGGTCCTGGCTACATGACTCGAAGAAACAGGATATTTGGGAGCAGAGAGATAAGAGACCCTAAAAACAATGTTGTTTTTCTTGACTACATACAGCCAAGATTTCTATTTTTTTTCCCTTAATTAAAAAGAAGTGTCAATTGCTTGGGACTGGCTGTTTGGGCAGGTGTGATTAGCTGTGCACTGCGTGTAACATTCTGCACTGAAGCAGGATGCAGGTGATGGTCCAACTGGGCCAAGTACTGTGCAGTTTCACATAGGCTAGTCCCTGGGGACCCACATGTTTAATATGTCTACCAAACAGGATCACTAGGCATTGACACTCTCTGTCTTGTCAAACCTCCTACATATCATTAATAAAGAATCAGATAAATCAAGGTTTCCTGGCCTTATGATTTTCTCATGAAAGGAAGCTGTCAGGTAAAGTTCATTTAACAGAGCCAAGAGATATTCATTAATAGCTCTTTTTAAAAATATTTTCAAGTTTCTAATCAATGTCTAAGTCCCAAAGCATCTTAATAATCCCTTTTACTTTTTCTCCTTCAATGTGTACAAATTTAAAGATTCGAGAATTTTATGAATCAAAGTAAATAAAACAGGGGGAAAGAATCTTTTTATCCATTTGACCAAAAATCCAGATACATACTCAAAATTTCTTCAGTTCACCACAGTCATACAATGCCACTGGGAATATTGCCACTTGGCAAAAGTCACAAAGGCAAAGATTTTGCCTGTATGTTATATGAAATGGTTAAGAAATTTTCAATACTCAATCCATAAGTGCAGGGTCACTTTTTTTGTTGTTTTTCTTTCTCCTGATAACAACAACAACAACAACAATAGCGGCTAACATTTAGACAATGAATACAGACATGCACATTACTTAGAGAATTTCCTACATAACTTTTATTACTCATTTTCAGGAAATGACATACTCCAGCAATAACATTTTGCCTAGACAGGCTACAGGAAAGTTACACAAGTAAAAAGGTGTGGCCCAAATATGTAACAGAAGAGAACACAATAGAGTCAAATCCTGATTCAAAGTCAACTAAGAGCGTCAGCTAATTGATCAAGGAGCTGATCTGCTGAAGCCTTCAAGGCTACAACACAATTTGATACAGATCACAGAATTCATTTTTGTAAACTAGACTGTTTATCTTTTGTGTACCTTAAAAAAACAAACCAAAAAAGCTGATTTCACCTTTGTGCCAAGACAAGAAAGATGACTTACATGAAATTTTTTCTTTTCTGTGTGAAAATCAAAACCTAACCAGTTTATAGCAATTGTATTTGGTGGGAATGTTGATTTCCTCTCCTTTCATCTCCAAACAATGAGTGAGATGAGTAGCTGATTAGAAATTCATTTCCCCTAAGTTTTCAAAACACTTGGAGCTGTTTTATATGGTTAATTTCCACCCAATGTCCTTTAGTTTCTTTTCTTTCATTAGAAGTCATAGTCTAAAATTGCACTACAGCATACAGTGCTCTACTATGATTGTACTTAGCTACAACTTTTAAAGTACAGTTCAATAATAAGGGAAAATAGACAAAAGAAAATTCTTCATGATCCTATAGCTGACACCTCTCTATTTCTTCATAACATATTCTTTGTCTATATAGTAGAAAGCATCAAGGATTTTATTTCTATTGAATTGTTTCATTCTAATAGAGTACTGCAACCCTTCATTTTCCCTGGCTCAAATATAATTGAACTGAAAAATTAAATGTCAACATGTAAGTTTTCTCTGAGTCAATGTAAATTTTTCTTCACTAGACCAAAAAAATCAAAAAATGTATTTTCTTGTTAATGTTTGTAAATTTAAAAATAGAAAAACGCTAATTTATCTCTATGAATTTTAGTGTTTTTAATAGGAATGAGTGTTGTATTTTGTCAAAAGTTGTTTTTTTGCATTGATTGAGACAATATGTGATTTCTGTTGGGTTTTTTTTATTGATATGATCACTTATGTTGATAGTTTTCCTAATTCTGAACCTGTCTTGCATTTCTGATGTAAATCCCACCTGGTCATAGTGTATGACCTTTTTTATATATTTCTATAATTTTTTGCTAGTATTTTACCTAAAATTTTTACATCAATATTCATAAGGGAAATTGATGTATAGGTTTCTTTCTGTTTTTACTCTTCCTGGTTTAGGTCTCAGCACCATAATTGTGTCATAAAGGGAATTTGGTAGGACTCCCTTTTTGCCTATTTTTCCAAATATTTTATATAATATAATTAATTGTTTTTAATTGTTTAATTAATTAAATAATAAGTAAAAATTAATTGTTTAATTAATTATTCTTGGTGAAATTCTCCTGTGAATCCATCTGGCTCTAAGGATTTTTTATTAGGGACCTCATTGATGGCTTCTTCAATTTCTTTTTCTAAGTAAGATATGGTTTTTTAAGTATGCTATTTTCTGTTAATCTGGGCAATTTCTATTTTGTAAATAGTCATCCATTTCACTCAAATTGTTAGATTTATTAGAATATAATTGGACAAAATACCTCTTAATAATTGCTTTAATTTCCTTTTCATTGGTGAAAATGGAGCCAAAGTCACTCCTTTCATTTTTGATACTAGTGCAATGGTTTTCTTACTTTCAATTGTGTTTATCTCTCCTTTGATTATCACTGCTCCCAATTTGAAGTTTAATTGCAAGTTTTTAATTTATTCTCTTTCTTTTTTTAGCCCATGCCCAATTCATTGATCTTCTCTTTCTCTGTTTTAGGGATGTCAGCTTTTAGAGATATACATTTTCCCCTAAGTACAACTTTGGCTGCATCCCACAAATTTTGGTATGTTGTTGTTGTTATTCCCTTTAATGAAACTATTGCTTCTATGATTTGTTCTTTGACCCACTTATTCTTTAGGATTAGATTATTTAGCTTCTGATTAATTTTAAATTTATACTTCCATAGCCCTTTATTAAATGTAATTTTTATTACATTATGATCTGATAAGGATACATTTAATAGTTCTGCTTTTCTACAGAAATTGTGAAGTTCTATGTGCTAATAAGTGGACAATTTTTGTACTGCTGAGAAAACTGTATATGCCTTCCTATCCCAAATCAATTGTCTCTAGTGATCTATCATATCTATTTTTTCTAAAATTCTATTCACTTCCTTAACTTCTTTCTTGTTTATTTTATGGTTAGATTTATTTAGTTCTGAGAAGGGAAAGTCAAGGTTCCCCACCGGTATAGTTTTGCCATCTATTTCCTCCTGTAATTCATTTAACTTTTCCTTTAAGAATTCTGATGCTGTGCCATTTGATGCATATATGTTTAGTATTTATATTACTTCATTGTCTATGGTACCTTTTAGCAAAATGTAGTTTTCTCCACTAATCTCTTTGAATTAGATCTATTTTTGCTTTTGCTTTATGTAAGATTGTAATTGCTACAATTGTGGTTTTTTTACTTCAGCCAAAATATAGTATGTTTTGCTTCCACCTCTTTTTTTTTTTATTATGTGTGTATCTGTGCTTCAAGTGTCTTCCTTGTAAACAACATATTATATGATTGTGGTTTTTAATCCACACTGCTATCCACTTCTGGTTTATGGGTGTTTATGGGTGTTCATCCCATTCACATTTAGAGTTATGATTACTTGTGTACTTCCCTCCATCCTACTTTCCCCCCCTGTTATCCTGTCTCTTTCTCCTTTCACCCTTTACCTCCTTAAAAGTATTTTGATTCTGACCACTGTCTCCCCCAATCCATCCTTTCTTCTACCATCAGCCTCCTTCTTTTATCCTCCTCCCTTTTTAAGTTAGATTTCTATACCCAACTGAGTGTAGATGTTATTCCCTCTTTGACCCAATTCTGTTGAAAGTAAGGTTCAAGCTTTACCCCCAACATCTTCCCCTCAACTGTAAAAGCTCTTTTGCATGTCTTTTGTGTGAGTTATTTACTCCATCCTACCTCTCCCTTCCCCCTTCTCCCAGCGCGTCCCTCTTTCTAACTCCTTAATTTTTTAGATATCACTGCATCATAGTCTATGTGCATTCTATGGATACTTTTTATAACTGCCCTAACAATGAGAAAGTTCTTATGAGTTACAAATATCATGTCTCCATATGGTAATGTAAATTATTTAACCACATCAAATCCCTTGTGGTTTCTCTTTCTTGTTTACCTTTTTATGCTTCTTTTGAGTCTTGTACCTAGAATTAAAATATTTTATTCATCTCTTGTCTTTTCATCAGGAATGCTTGAAAGTTCTCAATTTCATTACATATCCATTTTTTCCCCTGAGTAGTTATATTCAGTTTTGCTGGGTAGGTTATTCTTAGTTATAATAGTAGCTCCTTTCCCCTCATATTCCAAGTCCTCCAATTCTTAAATGTAGAAGTTGCTAAATCTTGTGTTATCTTGACTTTGTTCCATGATATTTGAATTAGCTTTTTCTCTCTGATTACAATATTCTTCTGGAATTTTTGTATAATATTCCTAAAAGTTTTCATTTTGGGATCTTTTTCACTAGTTAATTGGTGGATTCTTTCAATTTCTATTTTATCTTCTGTTTCTAGCATATCAGGGCAGCTTTCTTTGATCATTTCTTGAAATATGAAGCTCTTTTACTG